CTGCTGCCGTTGCTGCTGCTGCTGCAGAAGATCCTCGCGATTCTCACAAGGTTGCGGTGTCTAGACACCTGAATGTCTCGCACACGAGGGAGGAAGTGCAGCAGCTCCCGCTGCTGCGCCTTTGGAAGCAGCAACAATGGCTGCTGCAGCAACCTGCAACAGAAGCAGCAGCAGCAGCAGCAGCAAAAGATAAAACCCCCATCGCAGCAGCAGTAGCAGCAACAGCAACAACAGCAAAAGCGCTTGCTGCCTTACTGTTGCAGCTGAGGGCAGAGACGCTTCAACGCAAAGAAATACCCGTACTCCTCCGAAGCCTCTCCCCTCTGCTGCTGCTGCTGCTGCTGCTGTTGCTGCTGTTGCTGCTGCTGCTGTGGTTGGTGTTGTTGCTCCAGTTCCTGCACTTCCCAAACGTCTGCTTCTTCTTCTCCGCCGGCCCCCTGTGCTGATGAATTCTGCTGCTGCTGCTGCTGCTGCTGCAGCGGCGCTCGATAGATAAAACCCCTTTGCTCTAGAGCCTTCCATAGAGCAGCAACAACAGCAGCGTGAGGTGGCAGGGTGTGTTGCTGCTGCTGCTGCTGCTGCTGCTGCAGAAGCTTCTGCTGCAGCACGTGAATTTGGAGTTGGCCCGGCTCTTGCTGCTTCGGCTGCTGCTGCTGCTGGTGCAGTTCCAGCAAGACTGACGGATTTGGGGTGTACGTGCAGCAGGTTTTTGTGTCTGCTGCTGTCTCTAGGAAGAAGCTGCAGCAAACATTTGCCTGCTGCAGCAGCTGCTTCGAGTGAAGAGACAGAAGAGACACAAACCAATTGAGAGGGACGCAGCAGGGGATGCTGCTGCGCTCCCCTTTGGCAGCAGCAGCAGCAGCTGCTGCAGCAGTAGCTGCTGCTACAGCGTCGCCCTTCGCAGCAGCAGCAGCAGCAGCTGAAGAAAAGTGCACAGCTGCCAGCTCATGCTGCTGCTTCTGCGGCAGCTCAGACCACCACCGCTTTGCTGCTTCAAGCACCTTCACGCCATGCTGATCGCTGCCGCACAACAGCGAGTAATCTGCTGCTGCTGCTGCTGCTGCTGCCGGTGTCTTTGCTGCTGGTCGTGGCAGTGCTGTTTGCTGCCCTGTTGCTGGTCCTGCTCCTCGTCCTACTTCCTCTGCATGTCCGGTTGCAGCAGCAGCAGCAGCAGCAGGAGAAGCGGCATTGAAAAGGCTTAGGAGAGCAGCAGCAGCGTCTGCAGCAACTGCGGTGTACAGATGCCCCAAGTGCAAACAGCCGTTGCAGTAAAAGAGGGGGGCCGTCACGTACACCCCGCCTGCAGCAGCAGCAGCAGCAGCGTCAGTTGATTCGTCTCCTGCTGCTGCTGCTGCTCCTGCTGCCGCTCTACACGTGCTTCTGCCCGTGCCAGCAGCAGCAGCAGCAGCAGTAGCAGCTGCTGCTCCTGCATGCAATGTCTTGCTGCTGATGTTAAGCCTGAAGCATCTCCTGCTGCCAGGCTGCTTGATAATGGAAGTAGGAAAACTACAGGGGCCACTGCTGCTGGTGCTGCTGCTGGTGCTGCTGCACTTGCTTCTGTTGCTGCTGCTGCTGCTGCTGCAAAAGGCTCTTGGTGCCCTGAGGAAAGAAGGTGAGCGGCAGCAGCTGCTGCTGCTGCTACATGGAAGAGACCAGGAGCCGGAGCAGCAAATGGTGAAAAGAAGGAGCAGCAGCAGCAGCAGCAGCAGCAGCAGCAGTGAGGGTAAGGGCCTCAACGACCTCCAGCAGCGCATCTCACCTTTAGCAGCGGCAGCAGGTGCTGCTGCTGCAGGTGCTGTTGCTTTCCTATGACTGCTACATCACCACTTACTACTGCTGCAGCGGCTTTCGCCCTTCAGCAGCAGCAGCAGCAGCAGCAGCAGCAGCGGATCGGTGAGGCCTCGAGTGCCCCTGAGCTGCAGCAGGCAGCAGCAAATCTCAAATGTGGGGTCTTCTTCGAAGCTCCCTATCCTGTGTTTAAAAGCCGTTCGTTACTGCTGCAGCTGTTCTTGCTGCTACTGTTGCCATTGCTGCTGCTGCTGCTGCTGCTGCTGCTCTTGCTGCTGCTGCTCCGGCTGCTGCTGTCGGCGGCCCTCAGCAGCGGGCGAAGGGCCCGCCTGCAGCAGCAGCAGCAGCAGCAGCAGCAACCGCAGCAGCAACCGCAACAGCAACCGCAACAGCAACCGCAAAAATCAGAATATTACAGCACTAGATTACTCCATTTGCCTTAAAACGCAGTTTGCTGCTGGGCGACAGCAGCAGCAGCAGTAGCAGCAGCAGCAGCCGCTGCTGCTGCAGGAGACAGCGGCAGCAGCTGCAGCCTATAGGGCCTCTCTTCGAACGAATAGAGCAGCAGCAGCAGCACCATATACACCCAATTGCGCTTCAATAGCAGCAGGGGCAGCAGCAACAGCAGCGGGTGGGCACGAAGACACATGCAGCAGCAGCAGCAGCAGCAGCAGCAATAGCGGGAAGGCTGATGTCTCTAGAACAAATTGCAAGCCTACAGCAGCAATAGAATCCGTCGCAGCAGCAGCAGCAACAGCAGCAACTGCAACAATAGCGGCAGCGGCGACAGAACAGGCAGCGCTTCCGAGTTGAAGCTGGAAGACTACAGAAGCGAGAGCAGCAGCAGCAGCAACAGCAACAGCAGCAGCAGCAGCAGTGCGCCGCAGCTGAGCAAGGTTGCTGCAGCAGCAGCAGGAGTCCTGGCCGCTGCGACACGCCCTGCAGCAACCCAGCAGCAGAGGCAGCAGCAAGTAGTAGCAGCAGCAGCAACAGCAGCAGCAGCAGCAGGATGTGGATTTCTTCGTTTGTCTCCTCTGTTTTGAGAGATGACGAGCTGTCGGAGAATGAAGAAGAACAGCAGCAGCAGCAGCAGCAGCAACAGCAGGTGCAGCAGCAGCAGCAACAGCAGCAGCAGCAACAGCGGCAACAGTTAGGTGGAGGGGGCGTAGAGTTGCTCAACCAGGGAGCCGCACAAGCAGCAAAACCGGCAGCTGTTGCAGCAACAGCACTAAAATCACCTTCAGCAGCAGCAGCAGCATCAGCAGCAGCAGCAGCAACCTCTGGGCAGTCCAGCTATGCCGCGCTGCTGCAGCTCGTTGAGCGGCAGCAGCAACTGCTGCAGCGGGAAGCGCAGGAGAAGCAGCGACTGGAGCAGCAAACAACAGATCTGGAACGTACGCTGCAGCTGCTGCAGCAACAACTGCAGCAGCAGCGCCAGCAGCAGCAGCAGCAGCAGGCGCAGCAGCAGCAATCTGTTGGTGACGAAATTCACCTCGATGATGACTGGGGAGTTTCTACAGAGGAGAAGGGGAAGGAGCAGCAGCTGCAGCAGCAGCAAGGGCAGCAACAGCAACAACACCATGAGCAGCAGCAGCAGCAGCACCTGGCGCTCCTGCAGCGGCAAGAGCTGCAACTGCAGCAGCAGCAGGAAAAACTGCAGCAACAGGAGAAACTGATACAGCTGCAGCAGCAAGAGCTTGAAAAGGCCCAGCAGCAACAGCAGCAGCAGCAGCAGCAAAGCGCTGAGGAACATGCCGCCCTGCAGCAGTGTATTGTGCAGCTGCAGCAAGAGCTGCAGCAGCAACAACAGCAGCAGCAAAAACAGCAGCAGCAGCAGCAGCATGAGCCAACCCATGAGAGGGAACGGCTGATTGAGGAGCTGCAGCAGCAGCACGAGCAGCAGCAACAGCAGCTCCAGCAGCAGCAGCAGCAGCTCCAGCAGCAGCACGAGCAGCAACAGCAGCAGCTCCAGCAGCAGCAGCAGCAGCTCCAGCAGCAGCAGCAGCAGCTCCAGGAGCAGCAGCTGCTGCTGCAGCAGCAGCAAGAGGAGCTGAGGCAGCAGGCACTCCTAAGGCAGCAGCAAGAAGATTTGCTGCAGCAGCGAGAGCGGCTTATTGACCAGCTGCAGCAGGAACAGCAGCAGCAAGCAGCACAAGAGGAGCTGCTGCGGCTCAAGCAGACGAACGCCGAGCAGCAGCAGCAATTGCAGCAGCAGCAACAACAACTGCAGCAGCAGCAACAACAACTGCAACAACAACAACAGCAACTGCAGCAGCAGCAACAGCAACTGCAGCAACAGGAACAGCAGGAGCAGCAGCATGAACAGCAGCAGGAGCAGCTCCAGCAGCAATTACACCAGCAGCTGCAGCAGCAGCTGCAGCAACAGCAGCAGCAGCTGCAGCAACAGCAGCAGCAGCTGCAGCAGCAGCAGCAGCAGAACGAAGCACTGATGCTGCAGAAGCGAGACCTTGAGGTACTGCTGAAGGAGCAGACAGCAAGGGTGACGTCGCTGCAGCAAACTCTTGAGGAGCAGCAGCAACAGCACCAACAGCAACTGCAGCAACAGCAGCAGCAGCTGCTGCTGCAGCAGCAGGAGCTTGAGCGGCAGCAAGAGCAGCGACAACAAGAGCATGCGGATCGATTGCAGCAGCAGCAGCAGCACTTCGAAAAGATCCTGCAGCAGCAGCAGCAGGAAAGGCAGGAAGAAGTAGCAGCGGTGCAGCAGCAACTGCAGCAACTGCAGCAGCAGCACCAAGATAAGCAGCAGGAGGGCAAGCAGCAGCAAGAGCTGCTGCAGCAGCAGCTGCAGCAGCAACAGGAGGTACACGAAAAGGAGGTGACTACGCTGCGGGAGCAAGTTCAATTGCTGCTGCAGCAACAGCAACAGCAGCAGCTGCAGCAGACTGCAACTACTCAGCACGTTGAAGAGCTGCAGCAGCAGCTGCAGCACGCAGAGCAGCAGCGCGATGCCCTTCAGCAGCAACTGCAGCAGCAGCAGCAAGCTGCTCCCGTTGAGAAGATGGAGGAGCTGCAGCAGCAGCTGCAGCAGGCGGAGCAGCAGCGTGATGCCTTACAGCGGCAGCAGGAGCAGCAGGAGCAGCAAGCGAAGAAGCAACGAGAGCAGCAGCAACAGCAACAAGAACAAGTGAATGGCATGCTGAAGCAGCTACAGGATGAACATGCTGCACTGCAGCGGGAGCTGCAACAGTTTGCTGCTGAGGTGCAGCAAGAGCAGCAGCAGCACCAACAGCCAGAGGAGCAGCAGCAGGCGCATTCGTTGCAGCAGCATCTGCAGCAGCTGCTGAAACGCTACAGTCAGACCGCTGCAGAGAAGGAAGCGCTGCAGCGCCAGCAGCAGCAGGCGGAGCAGCAGCATGTGCAGCAGCTGGAGCAGCAGCAGCGAGAGTTTGAGAAGCAGCAACAGCTGCAGCAGCAAGAGATCGAGCAGCTGCAGCAGCAGCTGCAGCTGATGCGGCAAGAACAGGGCTCGCCACAGCAACAAAGGCAGCACGGCAGCGAGGCGGGGAGCGGAGCAGCAGACTCGCGTCAGCAGCAGCAGCAGCAACAACAACAACAACAGCAACAGCAGCAACGCCGCCTGCAGCAGCAAGAAGTTCTACTGGAGCAGCAGCAGCAGCAACTACATCTCCTTGAAGAATTGCTTGAAGACCGGGACGACGAAATAAGAGAACTGCAGCGGCAAGCTGAGCTGCAGATGGAGCAGCAGCAGCAGCAGCAGGAGCAAGCGCAGCATGACATACGAGCCGCAGCAGCAGCAGCAGCAGATTCAGCAGCAGCCGATGCAGCCGCAGCAGCCACTGCAGCACAAGAGGAGGCCGTCTTGTTTCAGGGTCAGCTGCAGCAGCGAATCCAGCGTCTGTCGGAGCAGTGTGAGCAGCAGCAGCAGCAGATTCAGCAGCAGCAGCAGCAGATTCAGCAGCAGCAGCAGCAGATTCAGCAGCAGCAGCTGCTGCTGCAGGCCCCACACAACGAGCCTCATACCAACGGTGTCCATACGCTCCAGTCAGCAGCAAACCTAACCAGGCAACTCGCAGAAGAGCAGCAGCCTAGTGAGGAGCTTGAGGCCTTGCTAAATGAAGAGCAGCAGCAGCAGCAGCAACAGCAGCAACTGCAGCAGCAGCAGCAGCAGCAGCAGCAAGCACTGGAGTGGGAGCAGCAGCTGCAGGAGCAACAACAGCTAGAGGAAGGTTTGCGGCAGCAGCACATAGTAGAAAGAGAACAGGAGGTGTTGCAGCGCGACAACCGACTTCAGCAGCAGCAGCAGCAGCAACTGCTGCTGCAGCAAATCGAACAGCTCAAGTCTGAAGTCCAGAACTTAGAGCAGCAACGCGAGCAGATGCAGCAGCAGCAACAGCAGCAACTGCAGCAGCACGCAGTGGAACGAGAAGAAGCGCAGCGGCAGCAAGCTTCTACTGCGTTGGAGCATCAGCAGCAGGTGCAGCAGCTGCAGCAACAACTGCTGCAGCTGCAAGAGCAGCTGGAGGCAGAGAAGCGGCAGCACTCCATAGAGAAACAATCGATGGAGCAAGTGCTGCAGCAAACGGAGCAGCAGCAGCAACAGCAGCAGCAAGCCAAATGCCAATTAGAAGAGACGCTCAAGGCGCTCGAGCAGGAGCGTCAGAAGCAGCAACAGCAGCAGCAGCTGCTGCTGCAGAAAGAGCAACAGCTGGTGCAACAGCAGCAGCAGCACGCGGAAGAACTGCGCAAGAAGCAGTGGGAAGTGCAACGGCTGCAGCAGCAACAGGAACGGCAGCAGCAGCAGCAGCAGCAAGAGATGCAGAAGCTGCAGCACCTGCTGCAGAAGCAAGCTGCCGACGCTGCAGAGGTCCTCAATGCAGCGCAACAGCGAGAGAAAGCTGCAGCAGGAGCTGCTTCTGCTGCTGTCTGTCGTGTTGATGCTGCTGCTGCTGCTGCTGCTTCGGCCAGCGCTGCGGCAGTAGAGCTCTTCCAACAGTTGACTAAGCAGATGCCTCTGCTGCAGCAGCAGCAGCAGCAGCAGCAGGAGCAGCACTCTTCCTCAGACGCTCTTGGAGGAGACTCGGCCATCGTGGCTTCGCGTGAGTGTTTTTTGGTGCTTAGGGTGCTGCTGCTTGTGCTGCTGCTGCTGTTGTTGTTGTTGTTGCTGCTGCTGCTGCCACGTGTGCAGCAACCGGCGGTCTCTGCTGTGCCTCTTGTCTCTGCTGTTCCTGCAGTGTCTGCGGCATATGAGGAGGAGAAACGGCTGTTGCAGCAGCAGCTGCAGCAGCAGCAGCAGAGGGCCGAGCTGCTGCTGCAGCAAAGGCAGCAACAAGAGTCTTGTGCTGCTCTTCGTGAGCGAGAACTTCTTCTGCGGCTGCAGCAGATGCGAGGTGTGTCTTCTGCTGCTCCACCCACCTCCCCGCTGCAGCAACAGCAGCAACAGCAGTAGTAGCAGTAGCAGGAGCAGCACCAGGAATAACAGTAGCAGTAGAAGCAGCAGTAGCTGCAGCAGCAGCTGCTGCAGCAGCTCGACCTTGCTTGTGCTGCTACCTCTCAGGCATCGCACTGGCGGCTTCGCAGGAGACAGCGGTGTTGGCTGTGCAGCTAAAGCTGTTGTGGGGACATGCGCAGCAGCAGCAGCAGCAGCAACAGCAGAAGCAGCAGAAGCAGGAGCTGGAGGCGTACTCTGTGGAAAGTGACGTCTGTGCGAGGTAATGTGCTGTTGCTTCTGCAGCAGCAGCAGCAGTGCTGCTGCTGCTGCAGGGAAGACTGCCGCGCGAACTCGCAGGCTACAGATGCTGCTGCTGATGCTGCTGCTGCTGCTGCTGTTGATTGTGGGGTGAATGAACAGGTTAGCAGCTGAGGGGGCTGAGGCAGAGACGAAAGTGCTGCTGGGGAAGTGCAACGAAAGAATTGAGGAGACTGCTGTAGGCTTGTGCAGCTGTTGCTGCTGCTGCTGCTGCTGTTGCTGCTGCTGTTGCTGCTGCTGCAGTGCAGCTGATTGTGCGGGTGTCACTGCCATTTATGCTGCAGGAACTGCTGCTGCTGCTGCCGCTGCTTCTGTTGCTGCTTCCGTTCGTGTTGACTGTGCTGCGGCTGCTGTTGTTTCTTCTGGCTGCGAAGCTGTGACTGGTGCTGCTGCTGCAGCTTCGTGTGGTTTGGTGTTGCTGCTGCTGCTGCTGCAGGGCCACATGGCAACCTCGCTGCAGGAGCTGCAGCAGCAGAAGGAGCAGCTGCTGGAGACGAACCAACAACTAGAGCAGTCAGCAGCACCATTAGTACACAGAGGCAGCTGCAGCAGCAGCAGCTGTGTGTAGCGCCTGTTCAGCAGCAGTACCCAGCAGAAGGAGCAACAGCTGCAGCAGCAACAACAGTAGCAGTAACAACAACAACCGCAGCAGCAGCAGCAGCAGTATCCGTTTAAATGCCTGTGAACTGTGTGCTTCAGGTCCCTTGTAGAAGCGCAGCAGCAGTTAAAAGCGCAAGAAGCAGCAGCTGCTGCTTACATAGCAGAGCGTTCAACTGCTGCAGTGGTTGCAGCAGCAACGGCAGCAGCAGAACTTCGTCGTCATCAAGCAGTGGACTGTGTAGAGCAGCAGCAAAAGGCGGCAGCAGTTGTTGCTACAATAAAGGAAGCAGAAGCTAAACTGAGCGCTGTTGCAGCCGCAACAGCAGCAGCAGCAGATGCAGCTTCAGATGCTTGCAAGGTCCTTGCTGCTGCTGGCAGCAACAGGGACGCCTCCCTCCCAGAACCTGAAAGTCCCCCGCAGAAGCAGCCGCAGCAGCAGCCGCAGCAGCAGCAGCAGCAACAGCAACAAAAACAGCAACAGCAAACGTCGAATGCCGATTCTGCTGCAGGAGGTTGGGGTGATGAGGACTGGCTGAGCGACATAGGGGAAGACCAGCAGCAGCAACAGGAATCACAACAACAGCAGCAGCAGCAACAACAGCAGCAGCCAGGACGGCAGCAGCAGCAAGAAGCGCAGCAGAAGCAAGAAAAGCAGCAGCAAGAAACGCAGCAGCAGCAAGAAAGAGAGCAGCAGCTGCTCTCTTCAGAAAGCCGATGGGAGGCTGGAGAAGACTGGGAAGCGGAGCTGGTTGAGGAGCGAAAGCAGCAGCAGCAGCATCTGCAGCAGCAGCAGCAGCAGCAGCAGCAACAGCAGCAACAGCTAGACTTGATGCGAGCCGATTCTTCGCTGGACCAGCAACAGCAGCAGATGCAGCACCAGAAGCAGCAGCAGCAGCAGCAACAGCAGCACTACCCCACAACAGCAGCCAATGGCTGGGAAGTGGAGGACTTCTCTGAAGACGAATGGGGGCGCAGTTCGCAGCAGCAGCAGCAGCAGCAACAGCAGCAGCAAGAGGAGGGGGAGAGACAGCAGCAGGAGGTACTGGGATGGCCTAGTGGAGGAGCTTCAACATCGCCGTCGCAGCAGCAGCGCCAGCAGCAACAGCAGCACGGACAAGTGCAGCAGCAGCAGCAGCAACAGCAGCAGCAACAACAGCAACAGCAGCAGCAGCAGCAGCAACAGCAGCAGAAAGGCACTTCAGCAGATGCTGAAATAAGAGAATGGGGCGGGGCAGAGCCGTGGGATATTGAATTCCACATCGAGCGGCTGTCATGCAAAAGCCCCCCAGCAGCCGCTGCTGCTGCTGCAGCAGAAACACCGGCAGCAACAACAACAGCAGCTCCTGCAGCAGCAGGAACACCGGCAGAATCAGCAGCTCCAGCTGCTGCTGCTACAAAAAAGGATCCGCCTGCTGCTGAACATGAAACTCCACTTGCTGCTCCAGGTCTCAGCTGCGATGCAACTGCAGCAAGAAGTGTAGTAGCATCGCCTGCTGCTGCTGCTGCAGCAGCAGCAGCAGGTGCAACCACTGCAGCAGCAGCAGCGTCTGAGGAAGAGGATGTTGATTTCCTAGATGACTGGGGTGGCTCTTCAGCTAAGTTAAATACCGAAAAACAATCAGCAGCAGCTGCTGCAGCAGCACGAGCAGCAGGAGCTGGTGCAACACCATCTGCTGCAGCAACACCAACAGCAGCACCTGCTGCAGCAGCAGCGTCTGAAGAAGAGGATGTGGACTTACAAGATGAGTGGGGAGTCGTAGCGCCTGCAGCAGCAGCACCTGCTGCAGCATCACCTCCTGTAGCAGCACCTGCTGCAGCAACACGAGCAGCAGCACCTGCAGCAGCAGCACCTGCAGCAGCAGCACCCGCAGCAGCGGCAGCAGCGTCTGAAGAGGAAGATCTGGATTTCGAAGATGATTGGGGAGTTCAGCCGACAAGCATGAAGGCACGCACACCAGCGGCAGCAGCCCCAGCAGCAGCAGCAGCAGCTCCTGCTGCAGCAGCACCCGCAGCATCAGCATCTGAAGAGGAGGATATTGATTTTCAGGATGACTGGGGAGAACCGCCAGCTCAGATGGGGCAGAGGAAGCAAACAGAAGCAGCTGCTGCTGCGACAAACGTGGCGCAGGCACCCGCAGCAGCAGCAGCAGCAGCAGCAGCAACGGCTCCTGCTGCTGCTGTACGGGAGGATGTCGACTTGGAAGCTGATTGGGGAGCCCCAGCAATTCACAAGAAGGAACCTCTGCCTGAGGCCATCCATGCAGCAGCAGCAGCGCCTGCTGCAGTAGCACCTGCTGCAGCAGCAGCTGAAGCCGCAGCAGGCCCAGCAGCAGTGCCTGCAGCATCAGCAGCACCTGCTGCAGCAGCATCTGATTCAGAAGAGGACTTCGACTTCCAAGATGACTGGGGAGCGCCTGAAGCTGCTCCCAAGACAAGCGAAGGAACAGCGGCAGCAGCAGCAGCAGGCCCAGCAGCAAGAACTGCAGCAGGCTCCTCTACAGCAGCAACAGCAACAGCAGCAACAGCAGCAGCAGGAGCTACATCAGGCTTGTTTGCAGCAGCGGCAGCAGCACGAGAAGCAGCAGCTGCTGCTGAAGAAGAGGACCTAGACCTCGACGATGAGTGGGGCCCCACAACAACCCAAGAAGAGACAACTGCATCAATTAAAGTAGCAGCAGCAACACCTACTGCAGCAACGGCGCGTGCGCCAGCAGCAGCATCTGCTGCCCCCGCTGCAGCAGGAGCACTTACGCCAGCGGTAGCATCTGCAGCACCTGCTGCACCTGCGGCACCTGCTGCAGCACGAGCAGCACCTGCAGCGGCAGCATCTGAAGACGAGGACCTGGACTTTCAAGACGACTGGGGAGTTGCAGCAGGCGGCGTAGACACAAACAAAAGAATGTCAGCACTTGCAGCCGCAGCAGCACCGGCAGCAGCAGGCCCGTCAGTATCACCAACGCATGCAGCAGCAGCAGCACAACCAGCAGCAGCAACGGCAGCAGCAGCGTCTGAAGAAGACGATCTGGAGTTCGAAGATGATTGGGGAGTGCCAGCAGCACAGGACGGCTTAAAGGCCCCCTCAGCAGCAGCATCACCAGTAGCAGCAGCAGCACCAACTGCTGCAGCAGAGACAGCTACGGCAGCACGCGGGAAGACGAGAGCCGCAGCTACAGCAGCAAATTTTGCTGCAGCAGGTGAGGAGGAGTCTTTGAGCCTTGATGATGAGTGGGGGCCCCTCGGGGGAGAGGAAGATGCAAAGCATGCAGCAGCAGCAGCAGCAGCAGCAACAGCAGCAGCACCAGCTGCTGCTGCTGCTGCTGGGGAAAACGACCTTGACTTTGCCCTGGACGACTCTTGGGCTGGTGAGGGCCTTGAAGCCTCTCCACAAGTTTTAGGAGCAACTGCAGCAGCAGCAGCAACCGCTGTGCAGCAGCAGCAGCAGCAACAGCAGCAGCAGCAGCAGCAGCAGTGGACACGAAGGGGCTTTTCACCAGCTGCTCCAAATCCTGCCCCGAATGCGGAAGACATCGATCTCGAAGCGCTGCTGCGAGACTGAGAAGCAGCAGCAGCATCTGCTGCTGTTGCTGCAGCAGCAGCATCTGCTGCAGTTGCTGCTGCTGCTGCTGCAGCACGAGTGCCGGTGCTTTCTATGGGGTACCGCTCAAAGCAGAAAACACCAAAACGTTGCAGCAAATAGAAGCGACAGCAGCAGCTGCTGCTGCTGCTGATGCTGCTGCTATCGCAGCGTTTTGCAGAAGAGAAAGGAGTTGCAGTTGTATTGGACGTCAAGGATATGTCTTTAAAGCTGAAGGTTTATATTTGCATGCATGCAACTGGTGGTATGAATGAGCTGCTGCTGAGACAGCAGCAGCAACGGCAGAAACAGCAGCAGCGCACACAGCTGCAGCAGCACAAACAGCTGCAGCAGCAAAGACAGCAGCAGCAGCACAAACGGCTGCAGCAGCGAATTCAACTGTAGCAGCACAAACAGCTGCAGCAGCGCAAACAGCTGCAGCAGCAAAGGTAGCTGCAGCAGCAAAAATAGCTGCAGCAGCGCAAAACGCTGCAGCAGCGAAGACAGCAGCAGCAGCAGCACAAACAACTGCAGCAGCACAAACAACTGCAGCAGCAGAAACAGCTGCAGTCTGTGTGCATTTATTTTCCTACATCCTTCATGAATTTGGTTTGAAGCATTAGTATTAATATTACTGTTGTTATTATTATTGTTATTTATGATTATTATTATTACTATTATTATTATTACTGTAATTATTGTTATTATTGTCTTTAATATTTTGGTGTTGCGGGAGCAAACTTAGCAATAAAAAAGGCTGTATTCCCCTTCTAAAATTGATTAATGTAGTAACATTTATTTTATTTCTATATTTTGCTGTTTGTTTTACAAGCAAACAAAACAAAACACAAAAACAAACAGCAGAGTGTCTCGATGCCTAAGCAGTGCAGCAGCGCTGCTGCAGAGGCGAGCTGGGAGATAAAACCCCAAAAATAATTAAAATAAAAGGTAGAATGAATTTGTTTTCAATTTAAATAAATCAATTTATATAATTAAACACAAATTAATTCTAGTTTTTGTCCTATACAACATATATTTGTCTGCTGCTAAGGAGAGAGCGGGGGGCCCCATGTGGCTGCAGGGAAAGTTTGTGCAGTAGAGTTGTATGTATTTCTTTATCTCTATCAAATGAATTATTTGTTTATTTAATTGATTTAAAGTATTTTATGCTTCTTTGCTACAAACGATAGGGCAAACAGTAGCAGCAGCAGCAGCACCGCTGCTGCCGGGTGTATGTACTGGCGGCCTTGTGAGGCTGCTGGGAGTTTTTGTCTTCTATTTGCATTTGTTTTGTCTTTCAATGCGTTAATTAATTTATTTATTTGTTTTATTTTGAACTTCTCTACGGAAGCATTTTGAAAAGTAGCCGCACAACGTATTGTACTGGGGGGCCCAACAGCCGCAGCAGCAACAGCAGCAGCAACAACAGTAGCAACAGCAGCACGCGCAGCAAGACCATCAAGTCCTGCAGCAGCAGAACCAGCAGCAGCAGCAGCAGCAGCAGCATCAGCATCAGCATCAGCACAACAGTATCAACTGCAGCAGCAAGATAAGCCGCTGTCACGTTCCGCTGCTGCATTACCTGCTGCTGCTGCTGCTGCTGTTGCTGTGAATTGATCTAAAGGAAATTATTGCATATAACATTTGTCGAGGGTTTCAAACTCAGGTTTTGTCTCAACAGCGGGCGAAACAGCAGCAACACTCTGTCTACGTTCTCCCTAAGACAACGCTAAAATGGTGTTCACCTACCAGTGCTCCAGTAAGCCGTAGCCTTGAATGGTTTAGGGTTTAGGGTTTAGGTCTATGAGTTTAAGGTTTAGAGTTTAGGGTTTAGGGTTTGCGGGGTCAAAGGAGTTGAGTGTGGAGGATATTTATATTTGCTGCCACATAGCGGTTTGTTTTATTGAAGTATTACCCCCTGAAGTTGCAGCTCCTATCTGTAGGGTATTGCTGCTTGATGCATCAAATCTGCAATTGGAAGCCATCCGCAGCTACTGATAGACTGCTCGCAGCAGCAGCAGCTGGCGCAGCTGCTGCAGCTGATGCTGTTGCTGCAGCTGCTGCTCCTGCAGCAGGTGCTATTGCTGCAGCTTCTCCTCCTGTAGCTGGTGCTGCAGCTGTTATAGCTGGTTCTGCTGATGCAACTGGTGTTGCTGCAGCTGGTGCTGTTGCTGCAGTTGGTGCTGCTGTTGCTGCAGCAGCAACAGCTGCTGCTGCTGCTGCTTAGTGTCTATGCAACTCATCAACCGTGATAAGGGATTTGTTTTATAGCGAGTGTCATTGTGGTGTATATTGCATGCAGCTCCTGGATATGAAATATATATGGGCCGAGATAAATACGAAAATGAAGATTTAATAGTGCATGCATTTCCTGAAGATGTTTGGTTTCACGTCAGCGAGCTGTCGAGTGCTCATGTGTATGTACGGATGCCTTTTGGACAAACAGGTGGGTTTTTAAATATATATTTCGAATAAAATAGTTAATTAAAGGATTTTTAAAGAGCAGTTTAAGCTGTAGAACGCAATGCGTCATACGTCCAGGTGTATGTACACCCCAAATCTTCGTTCAGAAACTGAATAATGAAGCGAAACCTGCAAATCATATTTCTTGTTTTTACGGCTATATTTGTTGATTTGATATCTTTTTAAATGCATTTTTTAAATATTTAGTTTAGTATACCCCCTTGTTTTAATTTAAATGTTGTGCTCAGATTATGAATCACTGCCAGCAGAAGTCATCGAAGAAGCCTGCCAATTAACAAAATACAACTCGATAGAGGGATGCAAACAATCAGAAGTAACGATCGTATACACCCCAGCTTCAAATTTAAAGAAGACAGCGAGCATGGAGACGGGGCAGGTGGGGTTTAAGCAGCAGAATAAAGTGAAATATGTACACAACGTGAAGCGAGATAAAGATATGATTAAACGTCTGGAGAAAACTAAAGCAGAACCCAAGATAAACCTTGAGGAAAAGAAAGCAGAGCGCGACAGAAGAGAGCGCAACGAGAGAAAGCAAAAATTACAACAGGAGAAGCTCAGGCAGCAGCAGGAAGAAGAACAAAAACGAATTCAAACAGAACTTAAAACGTATCAATCCTTGCAGCATTTAAAGCCAGTAGAGCAGTACAAGGGAGATGGCACTATAGACAGCTGCAGACAAATAGAGGAAGACTTCCTCTGAGTTTCTGCTTTCTAAACAACTGCTCTTTTAATTGCTCACATGATCGGGTCTTTCAGGCTCTCTTTGTTTGCAAACAAATGCAGAAATATGATTTTAACACCCTCTTTAGGAGTTCGTTTCAGCCATATTTTGCTTCTTAACTTGGGGATTAGACTTTTAGGGATTATGCTGCACCTCTCGATTGCAACAACAGCTGCATTAGGGGCAACTCGAACAATATATATCTGTATATCTGTATATCTATATATATATAATAGATATAACATATATATATATATATATTACATAATAGTGGTGCTTTAATTCTATTTTGTTTAGAGTCTCTAGTAGACACACCAGATATAGCAGGAGGTTAAGTGTACACCTGAAGATTTTCCTCTTCTTTCTCTCTACCGATGCAGAGTGCAGCAGCAATAGTAAAGCTAAAATACCCTTAAACCCTAAACCCTGAGGGCTTGCAAGGAGAAGATCTCTGGCTGTGCGTCTATCCGTCCCGCTGCCTGCCTTTGTTGAAGCATTTCTGGGTCTGGAGAACAGCTGCAATTAACTAATTAATGAATACACTACAAGAGGCTGTTATATAATATAAATCCTAACTAATGAATATACTGAAAGAGGCTGTAATATAATAGAAACACTAACTACTGAATATACTAAAAGAGGTTGAGGCTGTTATAGAACATAAACCCTAACTAATGAATATGCTAGAGGATGTCGTCATATAATATAAACCCTAACTAATGAATATGCTAGAAGAGGCTGTATTATAATATAAACCCTAGCTAATGAATATACTAGAAAAGGTTGTTATATAATATAAACCCATATCTCCGTACACTAAAAAGAAGGACAACGTAGGACTGCTTTGTTTGCAGCTCCTGCTTTGGTATTTGTATGCAAGAAGAGATTATCAAGAGTTTGTTTTTGCAAAACTTGAGAGAATTTGAATAGGAAAGGAAGGCAACGGCAGCTGCTTGCAGCTAACAGTGCGTATGTCTGTCGGGTCTGTGTGAGTGCAGCAACACCCATAAAAGAAGAAAGTTTGCTGCTCTGATCCCACAAAGTATTCAACAGGTGATAATAGGAAGAGAGACGGAAGAAACGCAACAGAGATATACTGCAATTTCTTGCAACAATGCAGTCCTCGTTAGGCGTTTCTATTAACACCTCGGATACGCAGATTTACTTGTGTTTATTCTTGTGAAAGGCCAGGGAAAATCACATATATTCTACAATACAAACACTCCCTATCCTTCTACTTCCCTCAGAAGCACCATACAGCCCCTGAAATCAGCGCAGCCAGCATGAGACTCGCAGCGATAATCAGCTTAACTCTGTAAAGGAAAAGCAGCAAGGGTGTAGACTGAATATCTTGGATCCCCTGAAAGGTTCTTATTAAGGCATTCACGATCTTTCTCCACGTATTCTCCTCGCAAGTTGAATGTCCTTGGGCATGATAGTAACTCTTTTCGCGTGAATAGCACACAAATTAGTGTCTTCAAACAGACCCACAAGGTAAGCCTCTGCAGCTTCTTGCAGTGCGAGGATTGCCTGGCTTTGAAAGCGAAGATCAGTCTTAAAGTCTTGAGCAATTTCACGAACCAAGCGCTGAAAGGGCAGCTTCCGAATGAGCAAGTCTGTGCTCTTCTGAAACTTGCGGATCTCTCTTAAAGCCACTGTCCCAGGTCGATACCTGTGAGGTTTCTTTACACCTCCTGCAACTGGCGCAGACTTTCGTGCTGCTTTCGTTGCGAGTTGTTTACGAGGTGCTTTGCCCCCGGTAGATTTCCTAGCGGTTTGCTTTGTACGCGCCATGATGCCGGTGGATGCTCGGAGAAAGCCAGGGAAAAATACAAAGTTTAGATGAGTTCAAAAAGATATAAATGAACAAGAAGGTATAAACACGCCCCAGAAAACCTATATATTGCCTGCCGCTATGCTACTTGGGTGGCCTGGTGCTACGCAGCAACACGCTGCATGCAGAAGTGTCGCAAGGATGATATCCCCCGTTAATAATACCAAAAGACGTCAATGAATAGTAGGAAACTGTAAATTAGATGTTTTTCCAAAACATTGTCAAACAAACATTCTTTTCTGCTGCAGTGGCTGCAGCTACTGCAGCGGCGGCCCACCCCAGTCGTGGGCGGCTCAAGTGAACGACAATAGTACTCTCAACACAACCAGAGGCAATTATTCTAATTAGATGAATTTTAGTTTAAATTCTAACCGACAGATCACACCGTTACTAAGACAGCTGGATTAATCAGTAGGTGTTTATCCTGCAGACATCAGCACACGTACCAACACACTCTGTCTATCAACACTTACTTGGACGTAAAAAGCAGCTTTCACGCAAGCAGAAGTGTTGTTGCATACTTCAAAAGGGGGTTGGCTGTGCATGCAGATGGAGGTGGCCTGCAGCCTTAGTTGCAACGAGGTGCGTTGCAACTCATACGAGTTCCCCTGCTCCACCCTAATCCTATCGGCCGCTAAGCTGAGAATGTTTAAGGACAGGAGAGGAGGTTAGATGCTTCCGTGAAACTCCTACCCAAAGTTTGCTCATTCTGTTGCTACTTTCGATTATCTGCAACTCTTGTTCACTTGCTAGCACCACATGCCACCACCCCCCCGTGTGTACGAAGATATGCAAACGAGTGTCAGGTAAGATAAATAATGAATAGAGTGCTGCCCCCCCAAGCACTCCATCGATCCAGGGAATCAGAAACATCCGCGTCACTGAATTTTTGAGACTCGTGGAGTCGACGCTCAACAGCCAACCTGAATCTTCTTTTTTCGCCAGCACCGCATTGTTTGCAAACGCCCTAGTTTACGGTTGAGCTTCTTCTGTTCTTCAAAGCTCGTTTCTTTGCTCAGTATTGTCTTCAGAATGCGTGAGTCGCCTGTGCCTTGGAGAAAGATTTGGAGCTCCGCCAGGAGTGAGTTCTTTGTGGTGCGTCGGGAATCCAGCGGGTGGCGGGTCCGCTGAAAGCTCGTTATTGCGTATGCCTGATAACTCTTTCTTCAACTGTGCCCACTTCTGATATTTTTTCGGTTTTTACTGAATCGAACTTCACGGGACCCCAGTCTTCGTAAGAGAATACGACGGAGTGCCTGCATGCATTTTACCGTTGTGTCCTGCAGCGCCTCTGCACTGCGTGGGAGTTTCCGTATACCCCTCGTCCTTGGGACAGTAATTCCATTCATCGTGCTGTAGATGATAGAAATGGTGTCTCGAGCGCCGAAGTGCGGTTTACCATTGCCCTCTAGCGCATATATCTCAATAGTGGCTTCAGGAGGCAAAGTGCGCGCTCTCCAGTATGCCCAAAGCTGTGTAGTGGGGAACTGATCCAACGTTGATGTCTCATGTCATGGTAATATGAGCCATTTTTGAGTTGCTTGGCCGTGCATTTTAGGCCCATTGGTCCACATATCCTTGTGTAGTGTCTGCCACTGGCGTCAATGAATAGATAGGAAGGTTGGAACTTCTCGGCATCGCTCGAGATATCAAAATCTACGTCCCAGCATGTGTTAAGCAGATCCATCAACTCCTGGGGATTACTTTTGCGAACTTGTATAGGCGTAGAACCGACTACAGATTGATCTGTGGGTGAGGCTGTCACATCTTTCAGCGCCATCACTGCACCGCACGTTGCATGGAGCCCTGCTCGTTCTGTTGGTTCCTTTGGAGGTGCGGCAAACAACCGAGCCTTTCCTGATTTTCAGCTGTTTCCATGGTACACATACGAGCTGACATGTTAAAAAAGAAGTAGATGCGCCCATCGCTGTTTCTCCCTGGATTTATGAGGGCAGGGTTCGCCGGAAGCTGTTTGTTCGTAGCAATCGACTTATATCGCAGCGTATAGCTGAAAGCTTCCATATTCGGAATATGGTCAGGGAAGATGGCCTTCTTGATTAGATGCTGCCATCATTTTCGTGGCTTTCGTTCGAACCAAGAGAAGGCTGCTGTAGACCTCCCAGTCCGTTTTGAAGATGAAAGTACACCTCCAGAGAAGCGCATAGGTCGCCACTATAGCTGGAAGGTCAAAAGAAGCCTGCACAGTCTTCATGAAGTGCTTTCGCGGCAAAGACATTTCCCGTTGGGTGGGATGCGCAAACGCCGCTCGTTCCAATGCGAAGAGGGGCTCAGCCGTTGGTCTTCCCCTCAAAGGAGAGCAGATACTGAGCCGTCTCCAGTATGGGAGAGAGTAGAAAAGGGCCCGATTTCTTACAACGACTTTAAAAAGAAGTATCTAAAGATTTCCGCTCAACTCTTTTTTGCAGCGCGACTGACTTTGCGACTAAGCAGTGCTATGCGCCAATTCGCCACACTGTTAGGGTAATGTTCGCTGGTCGCGCATCTCTCTTAACGGAGCTGTGCAAACAGGTGCAACGCCAGCCCTCGGTCGTAGCAAAGGACCGTTGTGAGCTGCAACGGAATCAAAGGGTAAGGGAGGTGTCACGCCGCCACAAGGGCCTGGAGGTGGTAGAAAGAGGAGGAGGCCTGCAATGAATTTAATCGCAGCTTGTTGTAACTCCTGCTGCAAGGCAGGCCCGCATGCAAGCAAAACCAAGCCCCCTTTGCTGCATGCACCAAGGCGACAAGCAAGATATGAACTCCCACTTGGCCGTAAATAATCAATCTGAGCTCAATTCGAAATACGCGTATCAACTTGAAACAAAACATGCGATGCACGAGTTGCACAAAAAACCCTGCTGCAACTCCTGCAGCGAAACAACGCCACGTGCAGGCACACCCACGCCATCTTCCGATGCATTCATAAGCACTATCTGCAATGGTTGTGCATATAATTGGTTCTCACTGCCCTGCACGCCGCATATTACTTTCTCCAAACCGATCGTGCTACTACACTGAACACTCCAACAAACTTGGCGTTCCATAGGAACGTTCAGCAATTAGCCCTTCAGAATTCATTATTTCCTCAAGGAAAAACCCAAGTATTGCTTTAATTGAGATTACAACTGTTCTACTTACCACTCAGTGGAGGGCACGCCCGAAGCGTGATTCGCCCTGTGCATAGAGGGCACCTCACGGGGCCCCCGCAGTGTCTCTGTTAATTCCTGGGGGCGGCTTGCGATATAGAGCCAGGTCAAACTTTTAAGAAAGCTAACACATACCCACAGTTTAGGTGATTCATTTGTGAACAAGCATTTCAATATAGAGGTTGCCAATAGTTTGCACGCCAGTAGTTCGCGTGCTCCACTGATCGTACCCTCCAAAGAGAAGAGTGAATATTGGGAGTGGGCCAGATATTGTGCATTCTCTGCCTTCTAGGCAGACTTTTACCTGATTCTTTGATTTAAAAGGGTTGCCGATCAAGGGGGTTCGGAATGCTGACTTCGAAGGGAGGCGACATGTCTCTCCCGGACTCTGCCACAGGCATCTGTGCGTCAGGGGAAAAGATCTACTCATTTTCTTCGCGTTCTTCTTTAAATTTCTTTCGTGAGTTTCCCTCTCTAATTCTATCGACTCGGAGTTTGAAGTCATTGAGGATTTCAAGACCCTCATTTGTGCGGGCCTCAACACTCGTTGCAGCAGCTTTGGGGGCATTGGGTCTACTTGTAGCAAACGTTGCGGCAACAAGTCAGGCTCTACCCCCCAATTCTACAGCAGAGACTAGATCAGTGGCGTGGAGCAGTGTTGCTGAGGAACAGTGGTTTGGTGAGGGCCCTCTAGGGGGTCAAGCGAATGGCGATGTAGATCTTCCCACTCTTCCTGAATCTGCTGTGACAGGCGTACGGTCTTCAGCTGCTGACTTTGCCTTCCCCCTTCCAGAGAAACCCAATGACGTCCTGAGCTCAATCAATCTAGGAGCAAGTGAAGAAGTTCCCTATGGAACAAATCCCCCAGCGCCATGCCCTGTAGACAACCAAACTGGGACTGGGCGGCAAGACTCACGGCCCGCTCTTAGCCTACTTGTACTGTTGTTTCTGTTCGCCTTGGGGCTGCCATCAATCCACTTTCTGAGAGTCTCATCGGGTCAGGAGAAGACAGGAGGAGGGCGTTTTCAGCCCCGAGATCAGCAACAAAAGGAAGACGAGAAGGAGCAGAGCACACCGTCGCCGTCGGAGTCGCAAGAAGACGAGCAGAAGCTGCACGAGATTCACGAGAAGGAACCTTTTACGGTTGGGGTGCATCAACTGGATGAGTTGGCGAGGCTGCGGCCTCTGGCAGCACACCTGGCGAAGACGGTTGGAACCGAGGAGTCGTTGAGTGCCCTTGAGGACTTCGAAAAGACAGTAGAGAACTGCAAGCTGGTTCAGCAGCAGATTTTGCAAGGTTCTATGGACTCCGATCCGTCGTACAGCATTGTACTTGCAGATGCCGTCTCTGATGGCCTCAATGCGCTATCTGAGCTTTATGAACAGGCTCGAGAACACGGAATCTCTGTGGCGCAGACTACACGAAGTATCAAGTGCCCCCCTGTCTTTTCAAAGCAAGAACTGCATACCTTGGCAGGTTGCATTTCTTCATCAACCACGGGCTTGATGGACTTTTACTTCGCTGACTTCGGCTCCTCTTTCCAACTGCTCTTGAGGACAGTTGAAACGGTGCAGAAAAGGCTTGAGAGCCTACGAGGGGTTGAGGGGGTGAATGACTGGCATGTGGTAGCTGCAGTTGCTGCAGGTGTAGAGTTTATCAAGCAAGCCCATGAGTCTGCAGAAATACAAGCGAAGTCTTTTGATATTGTGAAACGGAGTGCAGATGCTATGATCCTGCTGCACTACTTGCGGCAGCAAACGTCCATACAACGCAAATTTCGAGAAGATATAGCGGAACATCGAGTGCTGTGCAATTTAGAGAAATGGAGGAATCTGTCTGCTCCCCAGCAAGACACTACCTTCCCCATGACCGTTGCGGAAGTGGAAAAGCAGTTAGATGAAGCGGAGAGATTACTGGAGAAACACCAGCAGGAAATCGACAATATGGAGAAGGAAGATAACATTTTCTCTGCGCAGAGTGCGAAGATGCAAGCAGAAATGTTGGCATCAGAAGTGAAGAACGTGTTGGAGGCAGTGTCGATCCATACGGATTCGTTGCCCGGCATAGGCACGGCCGGAGATGATCCTGAAGTTCGCCAACTCATGCAGCAGCTGGCCGCAAGGGCCAAACAGGCAGCCTTTAGAGCCGCCAAGAGAGTGGAAATCATCCAACGGGAGATGAAGGTGCGGATGCCGCTCGGTAGTGATGATGGACCAAAGCCAGTTAGCCCTTTTGCAAGAGAAGCGCTCAAGATAGAGTTTCGCAAGGTAGCAGGCAACGTACAGAACGCTGCTCAACAGGCTGCCAGTGCGGCAGCAAAGGTTGCCAAGGACGAGGTCAGCTCAGCAGCCGCTCTATCGGAACTGGTAGCAACAGCAAGAGCGGCCGCTTTGCTAGCAGAAACCCACAGCGCCGAAGCGGAGCTACTGGGGCTGGAGATGCAACTTCTAGACTCTATGGAACTCGACATGCGCCTGAGCCTCCAATGGGCACGAAGAGCAGCAGCAGCTGTAGGAGTGGAAGCACAAGTAAAAGAGTCACCGAAACACTGGCGTCTTAGCCTGTCTGCCGAGCGAACCAAGAAGTTCCAGTCCCTTTTAGGGCAAGTGAACGACGCTAAGAAAAACGCGCATTTCAGAAGCAGGTTGGAGGACCTGGCAGTCGCAGCAGGAGTAATGAGGGAGGCTTCACTTGGACTCACTTCGATTGTCCAGGGACAAGACGGGACAAACCTGAACCCCAAATTTTGGGTATGACGCGCGGCAGATGCTTCTTAAGGTAGCCAATACAGGATGTGTATTCCGCCAGTTTTATGTCTTTCTTTGTCTCTGAAGCACCAAAGTTCATCGTAGTGCGAAGACGGAGAGGGACACAAGCAAATCGACAAGGAAACACACAGAAAAAGGAAAAAATGCAGATAGGAGGTGTCCGTTTTTGGGCACCTACAACTCAACTATAAACTCTTTCAACGGACGGAAACTGACTTGTCTAGGATGATAAGAAAAAGACGAATTTAGTGCAGGCGGAGAAGCAACCCACCCGACCTGCTGTCGCGTCTCCTACCACTGTTGCCTCGTAAGCGGCCCTTGGCGGGAAGGCGGTGCAAGACGTATCCAATGAGTCTCTTCTTTAATTTACACTTCTCTTCCGGGGTTTCAGGCCCCCCACCTTGTAACAGTGATGTGCTGCAGATGTGGGGACAGGGCTCTGATCTTCTTGCGATCAGGGAGGCCGAAAGATCATTCTTATTGGCAGCAGCCGGCTGTCTTAAAATCAGATGAGTGGTCGACCTCACACTGCATTTCTTGTGTAACTGATACGGTGCACAAGGATTTTCTTTCCCACTTGAGCACGTATATTTTGCCTTCTGCAGTGTACCTAAGGGCGGAGAACCAGACAGCCAGTATACCAGTGCGAGCACTTCGCGTATGTGTACATTTACCGGCGTGCATGTACATGATAGACCTCCACAGCGACTACAATAAAGTGCACCCGCCTTCAAGTTTATGCATTGATGCTGCGAAGCTGCATGAAGTGCAGCCGCTATGATGGACTGGCCTGCACAGCAGATGCAGCAGTTGCAGTTGATGTATCTTAATTTGAAAAGCGATGCGTTTAGCGGCGCAGCCGAGTGTTCTGTTTAATGCGGAAAGCGTGGGCGCTGCCTTCAGTCAAGACGCTTTTTTTGAATGAATCAAAGAGCGCGTAAAGTCCCCATTTTATTAATGAACAGCATGTTTTTAGCGCCCTTTGGGCAGGCACAGGCGACAGGTATACAGCCTTCAAAAGGTTGAAAGCAGGGCAGCCTCGAGTACGCTTCCTGTGTAGTGGGAGTACCCAGTGCGTAGCCAAGCAAAACTCCCTACTCAGCAGCTGCAGCAACACCAACTACTCCAGCACCGCTCCTCCTGGGGTTCGCTGACTTTAGAGGATAAAAACAACAGGAAGTTCAGTAGCCTAACTGCGAATTCTAGGTTCTACACTTCTAGTTTGATTGGGAATGGGGAACTGGCGGTTTCTGCGGCTCTAAACAATGCATTCTTGTGAACATTTAGGGAATGCATCTGTATAACGTGCTGGTGCACGAGGCACTGCAGCCCCGCTACGGCAGCGAAACTGTGCAACCTCATAGAGTCCCGTCATGCGCGGATGACTCCAACAAGCCGCAGGCTTTATTCCTGGCTGTTGGCGGACGGAAACTCTCATTCTGGGGTGAAATGCAAGATCAGTGCTATATAGTTCAGTCTCCTATTGGGATAGCTTCTAATGCTGCCACGAAAGGACGTCCCCACAAGCGGCAAGACTAGAAGGCATAATGCTCTTTGTTCAGCATAGCAATACAAAGATAGTGGTTGGTGCCTGTTTCCGAATGCGGTAATGTCTCACTTTTCGAACTGGTGAAAGAAAGCTGGCAATTCCATTGGACAGATTTACTAACACATGCTTTAGAGCTCCTGGAATGATCTTTGAACATCAGGCTGGATGCAGCAATGGCTGGAACCGTTAAGAGAGCATTTTAAAATAGGCTTTGCCACTTGCACTGTAGCGCCGAGCAACTTATCTCTTTTCGAAAAACTTGCCACCTGTGCTATCAGCTGCTCAAAGAGCACCAGTCAAACAGCTGTTGCACGACGCAATCCAGCAAACACTGTATATCCGCATCATGACGTGCATAGCAGACTACGAGTTCACCCGAAATGTCAGAACTGTAAAGCTTCCACCAGCATATTGCAACTCGAGTAGATTGCTCTGATGGAGCGCAGCAGCCCGCATGGTAGGCAGTAACTGCAGGAGAGAACAGAACAGCAAGTCATGCTCATTCTTGGAGGTTCGTATGGAGTCCGCTGCTGCTGCGGATGTGCCTTCAATGGCCAAATACGGCATGCAAAAAAAAAGACAGCCATTCCCTGCGGTTGGGCCCTCTGCATGGCGGATCTCTGTCCGCCAGAAAAACGCAAATTTAAATGCAGGTTTTGACCTAAGGACTCGAAATAACAGCAGCAGCAGCAGCAGCTGCTGCTGCTGCTGTTGTAGTTGCTGCAATTGGTGCGGCTGTGTTAAATAGGAAAAATCTCTGACGACGGTCTGCACCTGTGTAGCTCGCCATACTGTTTGCAATGACCGGCCCATGAAGGCTCATTTAGCAGTTGTTGAAAACTCTTTCAACCGTCGTATCCCCTAAGAGATCCTCTCGGCAGCTCCCTTCACCACAGCCTTCACCTCCTGCCCTGGCACTGCTGAGCTGCCCCTTCCCTGCAACACCTCCGCTGCTGCACTGCCAGGCTGCGTAAAGCCTTTTTTACCTTACCCCCCGCCATTGTGCTGTGCCCCCTTCAGCAACACTTTCACAGAGAGGCTGATGGGTGTTTCTGGAGCAGCGCCTGCATGCTGTCGCTTCGGCTTCATCCATGACAACGGGGGAGAGGCGGGCGTTTGCAACTCCTCTCCTGTGGGTGTTACCTCTACGGTTTCCTGGACCACCTCGTCCACCTGAGTAGCCCTCAACAGAAGCACGATTAGGAGCACGTCGTTGTTCTGAACGAGATATGCCATCCCCGCAACGCTCAGAGTCGGAGACATGCGGCGGGCCACGGTCTAGAGAATAGTCTTCAGGCCAGCTGCCAGGGCTTGCGCCTACCGGCCTACATCTGCGGAGCCGATATGCGTGGCTTCTATCAAATGGTTAAGATCATTTTGGCAACTTTGCAGGAGCTGTTATTGCCCCCGCATCCCGTCCTGCAGCACCTTTGGTGCCTTAACGACGGAGGTGAAACTGCCAAAAAGGCATAGCTGCCGCTGTCGTTACGACTCGCACAGGTCTCGTTGTTCTCTCAGTGGGTCTCGAGAACTCAAATGGCCGCCCCACCGCTTCGGCCAAATGTACATATGCAGTGCGGCAACATCCGTGGAGATTACGCCTCCAACAAAACGCCCCAGCGGCTCGGCCGCTTCCACAGTTCTTGCGACGAAAAGCGCATCTCGCATACACCGACCAGAAGCTGCTGGTCCTTCACACCCCGGAATCAGCCCCTTCAAATGTTTTTCGTCCACATGCTCCAAAAACCCACGCGAGGAAGAGCCAACTTTCCGAGCATGATATTCCAGAGCTTCTGCTAACAGTAACCCTGTGGCCGAGTACAGCCATCTGGCCCTGACGGGCGAAACCCACCCGGATCCTGAGGGTTCCGTCTTTCCTTCGCCATAGGAAGCCCGTTCGGCTGGACTACTTAATACAGCCGAGACAACGCAGAAGTGCCGCAGTTCAGGGCTCGCCTCCTCAAATCGTCAGGCATCTCCAAGGGCGCCGATCAAAGAGCATAGTGTTGTATTAAAAACTAGACAGCACAAGGGAGGAAATCAAAATACTATGATAAATTTCGATGAGCACAACATAGCAAGTATTGCATCAGAGTACTGTTGGTGCGTTAAGCTTGACTGTCTGCCTGCAGGTGTTTTGCCCTGGTGATGTAATGGTTAATATTTAGCCACTTCATAAACTTGCGCCAGAGTGCGCCAGCGAAATTAGGGCCCCTGTAGGCAATGATACTTCTCAGAAAACTGGGGGCCCTTCAGAGATCATTATTGAATAATTGGGCCACTCTCTCTGGGGAATGAAATGGGCATGCTTGCTGGTTCTTTCCACGGCAGATAGTATCATAGCCTCTAACTGAGGGTAAGCCCACTGTGAAATCCATTGAAATATCCTTTCAAATCAGGTACGCCACCTCAAGTCCTTACCCAATTGTCTGCAAACGCCCTAGTTGACAGTTGAGCATTACCTTTCCCTAGCAGGTCGTCGGCTTTCCATTCCTAAAGATGTGGGAGTCGCCTGGACCTTTGTAAAAGTCTCAGGGCTCCTCCGAGAATGAGTTCGATGCGGTACATTGGGGTTCCTGTGATGGACCGACCGGCTGGAAGCGCCTTGCTATTTCGTTCATCTGAAAAATCCTTCTTGAGTTGCGCTCGCTTCTGCCTTTCTTTGGGCATAGCTGGACCAAATCCCTCAGAACAGGCGTCTTCGTAAGGCTGTCACGACGGAGTGCCTGCGTTTCTCCGTCGTTGCCTCCAGCATGCCTGCAGTGGCAAGCGCGTGCAGCACGTCTGCAGTACGTAGTAGCTTCCGTTTCTTGTTCCTTGGGGCGCTGCTTCCACGCCTCTTACTGTAGAGGATGCCAATACCGCTGGGAACGCTGAGACAGGCACTTTCTTGGCGCTTCCCCGCACATAGTTGCCAATGAAATCGTATCCGAGCTGCGTCTGAGCTCTCCACTGAGTCGCCCAGGGCATGTCTGGGATTATGCCATAGTGAACTGGCCAAATCGTGGCAGTATGACCCATTTCTGAATTGCGTTTGCACTTTGCACCAATAGTTTTGCTGATCCTCGTCTCCCGTCTGCCATCGGCGAGGGGTAGTCGCAGAGACTGCGCCTGATAGTTGACAGGTTGGTTAATACCTACTCGCCCTAGCTTCAGATTTCAGGCCCACTTTATAGCCTGTGTCAAGTAGAGGCATCGACCAAGATCTTGGATAAGCGCAGACTTAAGTCGACGAGAATCTGCACGTGCGGGTGTCACCTCTTTCGACCCCATCACTGCGCCGCACATTGCCTGTGGGCTGCAGCTTTTCCCTGTTCACTTTCTTAGTTCCCCTCACGGAGATGCTTGGGGTCCTGCTGCTTCATTTTCTCAGCTCTTTTCACACGTCTACAATCTTGGATTATGTGACATTGCTTATTGAAAAGGGAACAGATGCACAGAGTTAACCTGAGTTAACCTGGTGCATGTGCGGCTGTCACATCTTTCGACTCCATTACTGCTCCCCACTTCGCCACGTTGATGCATAAGTACTCTACCATCTCTTCAAGGCCAACCGTTTCACTCCTCAGTGTGCTCTCCTCAATCCAGCCAGCTACCGATTGTTTCCTTACAAGAGACAGCCCAGCAATGGAGCATTGCTTACGCTGTCTCAGTTCTCCCACAACATAAGTTAACTTGCCAACCTAGGAATAAAAAGCTACATCATAGTGTGTCTCGGGAGGGATCGATAGTCTGTATTGCTGCGGAAAAGTGGTGCCCGTGCATGAATATAATTGCCACTGGCGTGCACCCGTATCTCATAACGAGAATGGCACCAGTAGTTATTGCTTTTCAGGTGTATGTTGGAGACGGAAATGAAACATAAAAAGAAAAAAAGATTTCCTTCACTGCCACTGCATCGCGGCCCCTGTTATACTATCGACAAGTGCGGAGGCATACTCCACGAATTGTTTTTGCAGTGAAGATATTTTCCGCAGGATGGGATGCAGATACTGAGCTAGTGCCAATGAGACGGGGCTCTCGACGGCCGATTGTGCCCCCAGCAGAAGATCCTGACCAGTCTCCATTATGCATGAAGATCAAGGATATGAAGTACATTCTGGGAGAGTATCTACAGCGTTTTTCTTGTGTTGCTCTAGGTCCGTTCTGTACTAGTCACTGCTATACACCAGGCTGCCCTGATGTGGAGGAGGGGTTCCTTGTCTGCACTTGCCTCAATGAATCCTACAGTGCTAGCAAATGCAACGAACACCCGCGATCTTATTCGTGGACCGTTAAGAGCAGCCCGCGACACAAGAAGATTCAAGTTCATGGTTCCTAGAACGAAGCTGAGCTCTTTCCCAATCCCCAGATGTGTTGGGAGTAACTTCCCAAGACCCTGAGGCTTGGAGAGAGGCGGCGCACCTCTCTGCCACTAGTGCTCGAAGGCGACACCACATGCAAGCGCAACCAAGCCCTCCTTTCTGCTTGTGCAAACAGTGTAGACAATTGTCGAACACTTCCTTTGCCTTTATTACGCGGCCTGCACACAGGTAAAAATGCATTTCCTATGTTCAGATAGGCCATGCTACGATGTTACACCGGAGCCCCTCTTGCCCTGCAACCCCACGCGCGAACCTTGCCCCGCCCTCCTTTGATGCACGCAGTAACGCTGTAGACAATTGTGAAACATTTCATTTGCACTCAGCCGCCAGCATGCTACCATGTAGAAGAACGCGTACAAGTTCAGACAGAGCATCACACGGGCCCACCTTCAATGTACGAGCATTAACTACGAGGGACTGGGATCGGATCCATGCCTCTTCATGGATGTTAGCAGTGAAACTAACAGTGAAAAGAGTTTCTTTAAGCAATGTAACTGAATAGGAGCACGACAACTACGCATCCTTAAAGAACCATCGTAGTGCAGTGATACGAGCAGAGATATCCTCAAATCTTCCAAACCAGCGTAGCATATCCTAGAGTGCCTTCCCAACCCATATATAAAAAATAATCAAAAACAAGTGTTCTCAAGAATAATCATGCTTCTAGGATGAATTGCAGCCGCTGCTTCCTCTGCAGCACTGTGGCTTCGTGCCTCCGACCTTGGCCTCATTCATCCCCGCCAACGTCTGTCTCCTCTGGGAACTGGCTGCGGCTTGCTGTTGATGCATTTTAACTTGGTGAGTTAGGTTTTTCTTTTGCTTAGTTTATTGGAAGACGTTCATTTCGGAATGTTGGCGCTGTAGAGAGGACAGGCGTCCCCGCTGTGGATGCCATAAGCATCCCTGCGCCTTAAGTCGAGGTCTCATTGCCTTTTGATAACAGGAGGGAAAATAGATGTTGTTAACAGGACTTTAGAAGTCTTGGAGGAGCCGAATGATGTTTTGCATCTCTGTTCCAGCCGTCGTGGGATGGCTGTGGACTGCGGGGTTACTGAATGAAAATGTTGAGGCAACGATGTCCGGTGCCCCTTTCTACCCGGAAATAGAGACGGACTCCTTAGGTTTTGCCTTTATTTCAGCGGATCAGTTTTTTAACGAGGGGTCCTTGGAGGGAGAGGAAGGAAGCAGAACCACCATAGGCTCCCCTACGTCGATCAGCATCACAGATATCACTGCCCAGCAGGGTAACCTTGTCTATCACGACCCAGACGGTACAAGCCTTGCCTTACAATCAGGCGATCTTCTTACAGTTGACGGAACCCATTCTAATGGATCTCCCCCGACGTCTCCCCCCCACAACGGGAAAGGTGGATGGCGGGGCGTCCGCGCCTCCCTTAGCACTGCTCTCGTATTTCTTGTTGTGTGTTTGGGGCTTCTCACGTCGCGTTCCTTCAGAATGCGAGCTGGACGAAAAAATGCTGGAATCGTTTACGCGCAGCAGAAACAGCCGAAACAAGAAAGGTCGACTGTAGCAGGCTCCATGGAAGTGCACCAGCTGGATGCGTTGCAGCAATTGCAGCCATTGGCTACCCAACTGGCTGAAGTTGTTGGGATTGACGCATCTCTTGCTGCACTATGGGACTTTCGAAGTAGTGTACAAAAGGGTAAACAGGCACAGAGAAACATTTTGAGGGGATCAGTTAACACTTCGGAGTCATCAGAGAGACTAGTGAAACAAGCCTTACGAGAAGGCGTTTCTGCACTATCACGGTTGTATGAAGTGGCTCGGCAGCACAGCTTTTCTCTGGCGCAGAAGACGCAGAAATTCAATGATATCACCTCCTTTTCAGAGGCAGAACTACGAGCCATGGGAGGCTATTTGGGTCCTGCCTTCGCCGGCTTGCTGGAGTTTCATTTGGAAAGCCTGGGCTCTTCTTTAGCTACGCTTGTCAAGAATTCAGAAGGGACGGAGAAGGAGGTGAAGGGGCTAAGGGAGTTCAAGGGTGTTGAGGATCGGCGCTTGCTGGCTGCTGCTATTGCAGATGTGGAGTTCATCAGGGCAGCGCACGAGGCGGCAGAAGGCCTGAATCAACTCGCCATTGCATTAAGGTCCAAGGCGGTTACAACACTACTCTCACACTTCCGGAGGGAGCAGATATGCATACAACGCCAGTGTAGAGACATGTTAGAGGAGCAGCGCGCCCTCTGGCAGGTCGAGAGACAGCGGCAGCTCTCTCTTTCCAGCAGTGACAGCGCTGCCTTAGAGGAGCTTGACGCAGTGGAGGAGGAACTCCGCAAAGGGAGGCAGTTGCTGCAGACGCACCGTGAGAAGATCGAGTTTCTCGCGAAGCAAAAGGACATTCCCTCTGCACAAGCTGCGGGGCAGCAAGCAAACGCCGTGGGACAGGATTTAAAGGCTTTGCTGCAAGTGGTAGCCAGCCGCATAGCAGCGATTTCTGGCCCTTCAGGAACACGTGAGGCATCTCAGGACAAAGAAGTGCAGTTCGTCATGCATTCATTGACCTTAGAAGCCAGTCGAGAGGCTGCCACAGCCGCCGATATAGTGGGAAGCACACGAAAGGCCCTGGAGTTACAGAAGGCTGTGGCACCGCCCTTTTTATGGATGCGACAAAACCAGGGGCGCAAGAGCAATGACGCCAACAACTTCATTAACCCCTCCGTAGAGAGGCTGGTGAAGGACTGGCTTCAGAAAGTAGCAGATAATGCACGGGCGGTAGCGAGACAGGCTGCCAGTGCAGCAGCAGGAACAACGCAAAAGAGCAGCGAGTCTCCGTTCTTTGAGTCGCATTTGGCGGCAAGCAAAGCTACCATGCTAGCGGAGGCCCTTGGCCAGGAAGCAGAGTTGTTGGAGCTGCGTGCGCAGCTCATTACATCCATGAAGTTCGTGATGCAGGTTAGCGACAATTTGGCGCGCAGGGCGGCAGCAGCAGTAGGAGAAGCCCAGGGGGAGGAGGAAGAGCAGCAACAGTGGCATGTCGTTCTGTCTCCCGACGAAATTCTGCAGGTGCAAGCTCTCCTTGATCAAGTACAATTAGCAAAGGAAGAGGCGTGGTCACAGCGCAGTTTGAGGGCCTTGGCAGTGGCAGCAGCAGCTATGAAAGAGGCATCATTCGAACTCACTTCTATCATTCAGGGACGTGAAAAGCTTTGACCCTCAAGCCCTTCTCGCTGGGGAAGCCAGACATATGGCTGCAACCCTCTGAGGCCGGATAGTGGGAAATGCTTATTGCTTGTGTATCTAACTGCGAGCAAAGCAGAGCCACAAGGGGCACAGCCACAATGACAGAGACGGAAGGGGAAGAAGAAACGGAAGGGAAGAGAAGCTATCTTTCATTGCTAAGAAATGCCACTTGATCAGACACTTTTTCAATGAATAGCCTCAATGTTACTGGTGACTGGCTGTCAGGTGAGAAGTTCTGCCCCTATGCAGAAAGCAAAATAATGAAATCTGAAGACAACGAGGAAAGTACTTTCCGGGGGGTTTCCCCTCGGGTTTTTATCTGCTGCGAATGCATGACTTCCTTGTTCACCAACATCCAGGAAACCGGTTTCGTATTAAAAGATGAAAATCAGTAGTTAATCAGGGACATACTGCAATTTAAAGGGCGCGGAGGCTTAAGCATAGTGCATAGAAGAGTATCTAGTTGACCCACACGTCAGTAAGCAGCCATTTTCCTTTTCTATTATTTGTGAAGAAGCAGCCGCCGTCTTCTAACACACGGGGGAAATCTTAAACGAGGGCATCCTCTCGGGTATGTTTTTTGGCCACCCAAGCCAAATGCTGTTAACCAGCAGACGACATTTTGAAGGCTTGGCAATGCACAAGGAAAGCAAGTTGGAAACTACTGTGATGTGCTCCTAGAAACACTAGCAGAAATATGGCTTTCTATTGCCCATGCAGGATAGGACAGATATATTTTATATACATCAGTATGCGCTTGCGTTTTTGCGTGTTTATGCACGCACATGCTTCACCCTCCCGCGATGCATGCTAGTGGGTGCGCTTAGTAAGAAATGCTAGAACATTTCTCAGTATCCAGCGGCAACTGCAGTAGCAGCACCTGCTGCTGTTGCTATAGCTGGTGCTGCACCTCCTAGCCAAAAGCCGTGGATTCGGTGGCTTTCTAATGGAAAGCATGCTTATTCGGCAGTTTCAAGTAGTATTCCACTTGTTCTGTTGGCTTTCTCGTGTTATGTCATCTCTTTACAGTGAGTGCCCTGCCCCTAATGCCAGGAAATAAATGGAGGGATACAATGCGATGCAATTTCTGTGTTGTCTCTGCCCCTGTCCCTCGAAATAAAGAGCCTTCAAACGCTGTGTTTGTATGGCAACAAATGTTAAGACCCCAGTTTCAGGGTATGAATATAGGAAAACCGCCTTCACACGGCAGCAACGATTACAGGAAGAAGGGAGAGAACGAAATAAATATGCTTGTATCCAGGACGCCTCAGCTGTTCCTCAACAAAGAACCCAAGAGAGCCGCGCCGCCAAACAAAATGATGCGATGTACTAGCAGCAACAGCGACTGCAGCAGCAGCGGCTGCGCGGCTTTCTTCAAAGGGGAAAAGCACCGGCAGCGCTAGATCAGAACGCCTGCAGCACCAGTTTATGATGAGTATATGTTATATGTACACTACACGAATGCATATGCATGTACTTGTATTGGTTTAGCGTGTGCTCGAGGGGTTCTTCCAGCCAGCTGCGCCTCGACAAAATCAACAATGGTCTGCGCCTGAACACGGGCAACAAGCCCAGAAATACGAAAGGAAGTCTTTGACCTACGGGACTGCTGAAGGTTTCAGGCCGCAGTGAACCCCGCAACACCGTCCTAGAACAAAACCATCAAAGTGCCTACCAACTTACTGGAATAGAAGAACATCAATAGAAAAGGCCACATTTAGCGCTCCTGCTCGCTCTTTTGGGTGCAGCGCGGCGTAGCAAGCATGCGTACTGTAGATGCCGACAAAGCTTCAAAGTGAATCGGCTGCACTATTTTCCGCCTTCTTGTGCGCACTCCGCGAAGAGACAAGCCTACACGGGATTTCAAATATCATCTCGTCCACTAAGGAATGGCCTCTCCAGTGGCAGGTGTCTACACTGAAAACATTGCATATATCGCCATGTGTGCGTCATTCCCTCCTTCCATTTGACTGCATTATGCTTCCTCCTCTTCTTTTTCTGCTAATGAACGATTAAGTACCTCATCGCCCATGAGCCAAAGGGAGTTGCGCATCATAAAAGCAAGGATATCTTGCCGTCTTCCAGCAACGAATAGGCGTTCCTTTAGCTTGCGTGCCGCATCTTGGTCGTCAATGGTACTTTTTCGTGCTGCTGGACAAATGCCGTAAGTGCATATGCTGCCTGCTTCATCCTTGCTGCCGCTGCAGCTACTTCATTGAGACCATCCGCCGCCCGCGCCTTTTGCTGCTCAGCATTTAACTGTGACACCATGTTTTGAAAATTCAGAGCCTCGCCGGCACCCATACGAATAGTCCAGAACTGACGCGGTTGGTCCTCCCGCCCTGTTGCCGGATCTGCTGCTGCCATTGCTTTCCAACCCACGAGGGTGCTCAGCTGCATGTCCGCTTCTACCGAGTCATTAAGCTGCGCACGCAACCACATCAACTCTGCCTCATTGCTGAAGGCCGCAGCGGCCTTTGCGGCCAATCTAGCCGCAAGCACCAGTTCCATCGTACGGGTCACTGAGGCGGTGCCTTCAACATCGTCGTCGTCGGGTTTCCGAACAGCGGCCTTTGCATCCTCTACCTGTTTCATCACGGAAGCTATCATCCTGTCAAAGGGGGGTTTCATAAGTGACTCTGGGTTTCTTCTTTGTCCGTCTAACGCCTCCCACATGGAGGAAACAGCTGTAGGCGCCTGCACGTCCAACGCCGCCATGATGCCTGCAACCCTTTCAGTGGCCGCCACCGCATCTTCGCTGGTCTTTAATGCTACCAACCTGAGGTGGCGCTGCATGGCTTTGGTGTGTGCAGCTTCGTCTACGGTAATAGCACCGGGAAGCGAACGCCTTTTCTTGGCGGTACCTTCCAGCACTTCGCTCAACTTATTCAATACAATTCTGGACTCCACCTCCATCTTGCTTGCGAAGACGATGTCGCCTGCGTTTGCAGTATGGTCCATGAGTTCCTTATGCGTTTTAAGGAGATCGTCTGCCTTCTCCAGCTGCTCTTGAATCCACTTGAGGCCTTCTACAACTTCCTTCTCTGGTTCAGGAAGACCTCGTTGGCGTTCCTCATCCAAGCAGCACAGAACGCGTTGTTCGTCAACTTGTGCTTTAAACTCGCGATGTAAGTGCTCCTGATCCCTCTGGTGGCTCATGACCAACGCGGTTGTTGAATTAACCCTGATGTCCTCGAAAGTTGCCTGCTGCGCTTGCATGGCTTCATCTACTGCCTTGATCATCTCCATACTTGCAAGAGCACCCGCCAAAACTTTCACATCCTGGGTGCACTTGACATCTGGCATTTCCTTAAGATCTGTCGCTGCCTTTTCTGCTTGCGACAAGCCTGCAGTGAAACCAAATTCAACGTTTTCTTTGTGTATATCTAAAAATTTCCGAAAGCCTGCGCCCAATCTGTTGCCTAGCATTTCAATCTCCTCATCTGAAAATGAAGGAAGCCGTTCGCCCTGAAGATCTTGCGCCAAAGACAGTCCGCGCTCCCGAGTAGCTTGCAATAGCTCAGCCAGCGCGGCTACGCCGTCGTCTACAGCCTCCTTAAGATGTGCCAGAGAGCTCGAAGAAACCCCCACAGCCATTTGATCTGCCGGCTCTAACTGTTCCAAAGCCGAGCGAAACTTCTGCAAGGCAGAAACAGCCCTTTCCGTCCCCACCGTCTCAGCCAGATAGACTACCATTGGCTGTGCCTTCTCCAGATCACTCATCTCATACAGGAGCTGCTCCAACTTTACTTCTCTCTGCGGCTGCTCTTGCTCTGACCTCTGCGGGCGTGTTGATGCTACCGGGGCCTTCATAATTCGCAGCTTGATAATCTCCAAGCAGAGGGCAAAAAGCAGAACAGCCGCAATGAGGGGGACGCGTATACTCCGTTTTGCACCTTTAGTGCTTTTGGGCGCAGGCGCAGGCGGCTGCGGTGCAGCTTCCTGTTGAATTTCTGTTTGGGCCAGTTCAGATGCGCCGGTAACGAGACCGCCATTGGACAAAGTATCTAATAAAGCATCATCAGAAAATAAGGATCTCGTTCTGTTGGCTTCCTCTCCAGTCATCGCAGCAGACCACCCATCTTCGGTGAAGCTTGCCGCGCTCTCTGTCTCAGCGCCAGTAGGCAGGAAGGCATGGGAGCCGGCTAACACTGCGTTAGAACATATTACTACTAGTATGCACAGCCATCTTACGGCGGCTGTGGAGGAAGGAAAACACATTTGTGGGTCTCGAGTCTACGCCCTCGGTAAAGTTCAGCATGCAGAAGAACTGATATCTATGGGGGAGAAGTGGCAGCAGGCGTTCTGTTGTGTTCGGCAACAGAAATATGTATGCTTCGCAACTAAGAAACTCCAGCACTCATTCAAATGCAGGCGGTTCATAAGCCTGGGGACGTTCCTGGAGGGAGACGAATTGATAGTGCTCCAGGAGTCGAAACGCAGTAAAAACAGCAGTCCTCTTTTCAGAAAAATAGATGGGGGCTTTCAAATAAAGCTCCTATAGACGAAATTCCTTCAAGGAATGCATGCAATTCCTCTAGGTTTTGTTCCGTTCTTCTCTTCAAGATCACATCCTCTTCCGGCACGTTGCCGGGGCTGAGCTACGGGCAGGCCCGTTCTTAGAGGAGCATCTCACGTTATACTTTCCATTCGTTTTGTTAAAGGGTCTATTTTAACAACCTGAGTATGTCTTGTTTTTCTGGGTGTAATGCCCAGCCCCTCCACAAACTTTCTTCTCCCAATGATGGCATCGGAGCAGTCTTGATCTTGCACAAGTAGCCGCACACAGCTTGCACTACGTAACAAGCATTCACTAGGTATTGAACGTTCAATAATATCTACACTTGATTTAAATAAATTGAATTTGAATGCCATAGTCGCAACTGCGTGGGGTAGAAGCGAAATGAACAAAGAAAACGATGGAGCACGAGGCGGAGGCTCGAGTAACCCGATTCCTTAAGCATAGCATCAGATCCTCATGAGGTGCAAGACTCAAAACACTTGAAATACGAATTCCGGGGAAAGACTTAATTTCTCTTTTCCCTTTCCCTCCCTCCTGGTCGCAGCAGCACAAGGTCATTGGGTCCCTGCGGAGAGGAGGCTGCTGACTGTGAGTTCCAGCAACACGCTTTGTTGGAAAACCTGTTGCGAGGCACCCCCACAGATACGCCCACAGTCAATATCCCCTGTGCTTCATGAGCCAACACTGTGCGCAATCGCTGAACGTATATATCGCCGTAGCTAGCCAGCATGTGGGGAAGTATGAATGCATGCACCAACCTCAAACGCACCATCCTACTCGTGCCCCGACCTTCTCCACAAACGGCACACCGCCTCGTGCGCCTCGGACTCAGAGAAGGGGTAGGTACGCAGAGGGAGGCAATAAAAGGCTAGTCAGGCCCGTAGGTAGAGGTGCTATTGCCACGGAACCCGAATAATACAAGAAAAAGTAACATATTGCTGAGGCTCAAAAGCTCATTGGCTCGGCTACTTGTCAAATAAGGCTTTATGCGCCTTATGCCCGTCTTTGGAGCCACTTTATAATGCGGGCCCCCCAATCGAAACACCGCACGAGAAACCAGGGGCTTCAGCCAGAAGCGCACGGAGCTCACAGCCAAACAATACGAAAAGGGCAAAAGGGCTGTCAGTGGCAGCGCAGACGCCGATTAGCTATTGGGTGAGGGAAGGACGCACCTCATAGCGGGCTCCTTCACATGCCCATCCCCGTAATGATGCTGCCACCATTTTGTGGGGAGTTATCTCGATAGTTTCGGCGATTTTCTGAACATTTGTGAAAGACTGCCATTAGTGGTTTAATGGCGTCTCTACGTTGGAAGTAAGTCTGCAGTGTAGGCCAATGCTTTGAGCGGAGAATGAACAGCAAAGGGCCTTACCAAAAGCATGTTTCACCTCTTTGGTTGTTAACCCTCCTGCGCGCTTCGCAGATAGTGCTAATTCACCAGGCCTAAGTTGCGTGGCTTACAAGTGGCCGCCGAATATCTTTTGTGCGGCTTTTTGCCTGAAATTGTCTAATTTTCTTCACACATTCCAGAACCACGACAAGTTGCATTTTTAAGGAGCCCGAGGCTGCGGGAGCATGAAGCTAGCTGCCACTAACAAAGCCCAACGCCTGGACATCAGACACAGATGCTTCGATGTTGGCCAGGAAAGCCGGAGAACCACTGCTAGAGGGCTGCAAAGTTGTACTATAAAGGCAGTTATCCCGAGGAAAGAAGTCAAGCCACTTCGATGAATTTTGACGGGTAGTGCATCTCCAACACCGCGCAGGTTTGCTGCTCTCACGCTAAATTTGAACCTTCATCCGGATGTTCTGCCGCGATTATGTAATGCTCGAATGCTCGAAGTTCCTCCGCACCGGGAAGTCGCGTCGGAAGGCGCTAACAATCTTGAGCTCCCTGTCAGTAATGTTGAACTTCGGAGAGCCATGCACCTTACAGGCATGGGTCGAGAGCAATGAATAACTGAACAACTGCCTCTGGTGTAGATGCATTCGAATATGGCGTGAAGCGGGCATAATCTGTATGGTTGCCCAGATCAGTAAGAAAGCTCTCGCAGCTTTTGAGTGATCGCTAGACCACTCTAAATTCCATCTAGGACAGCAAGAGACCTTCTACGCTAAAGTGTTTATACGTAGTCCGTTGTAGAGCTTCGGAAGAACCGCAGCTGTGTCAGTACCTAAGAAGATGAAGGCACTTTTGAAAGGAAACATAAACCATTGCAGACTAACGGAGTTTAGAGACGCAGAACAGGACCGGTAGGGCTTGAAGATAGTCCATCGGCGACCATGTTGGTGGTAACCATGTTAAAATAAAATTAAGTACTGCTTGATCCAGCAGAGCCACCGAACAACTCTGTCATTATCAACGCCTTTCGTTCCCCTCATCAGGTGTGTAGAGGCCGAAGGGGGATGCGGTGAGCTGCAACCCGCCTTACTGCAACTAGTGCTACGAGCATGCTTTACATATATCATAACTACATCCTCCTTGCTGCATACCCTATATCCGTAAACAGCTGTTCAACAGTTGCTCTGCCCTTCGCAAACAGCCTGCACGCACGTACAAATTCTGGGGGGCCTGCCAACCGCACAGACACTCCCGGCTACACACGAACTGCAGCATACCTTGCTGCAACATCTACATCAAAACAACATGTGAGAGATCCCTTCGATGCCTGCATGCTGCATTCAGAGACAGTTTGTCTACTATGTATGTCCCCGCAGTAGTACTACATATCCTCCTCAACTGCAGAAGCTCTCTTTCTTTCTAGAAAACGTTGAATGCAACATATATATTCTGTTAGTGTAGCTGAAGCTGCTTCATACCAATACTCAATCCTTATGTATGAATCGCTATCGAATGCAAACAAATGAAGGAAACTCTATTGCAGCACTTCGCCGGCGTGCAGGGCGTATTTAGGAGTTTCTTTCATCTTTTTCAGCCAATAGGAAGAAGGTAAAAGTAGAAACATTTTAATAAAAGCTAAGAATCAAAAACAAAACAAAATATACCTCAAGCTAACGCCTCTCCAGCAGGTGCTGCTGAAAAGAGGCTCGGTCTTGTTGGGAGGTCAATGCGGTGTGCTGATCCTGAGTGTTTCTTTCTTTCTGTTTGGAGTATGCAAAGTTCTTTTTATTTGTTTTTTAATTGTTTTATTCATATTGATTACGTTTATAGAAAGCCAAAGATGCATTAATTCCTCTCTTTTGATGCTTGCACGGCGTATCGACGTTCATTAGGGTTTGTAACGGCGGAGGAGTAAGGCGTTTTAAAATGTAGTTTTTCTTGTATTTGCTTCTTCTTTATCGATGAATACTCTGCACATGTTCCATGAAGCAGCAGGAGGGCCTGGAGAACGCCATTAAACAGCAGGGCTTACAGCATCGGCCGTTCAGTTATATTTTATTGAGCTGAAATAATATATTTGCTGCAGTTGCTGCGTTTGTTGCCTTTTGTTCTTTCATTATGGAGACGGAATCTGCAGGGTTTTCTTCAGTCAGTACAACCCGCCTAACCTCTTTGGGGCTGGCTGATAGCAATGAAGGCGTTGATTTCACTCGAACAGCTTCCGCTAGCTCAGCAACAGCATCTTCGCCTGCAGATCCTCTTCTTCTTGATGCTGCAGACAGCACCCCACAGGCCGAGCATAGCCATGAAGCATCAAATAAATCTACGTTAAAAGAACCAACCAGCCCCCTCCTCCGTTTTAATCCTCACACAAACAACGAAAAAAGAAAAAGATTATCACCTTTCGCGTGGGGCTCAGCAGTCTTGATTTCTGCTCTTCTTCTGGCTATGCTTAATACCCGCGTTCTCAACACTGCACCGGCTCTGAAGTCCCCAAGGCCAAGTTGTTCTGATGAGCAGCAGCAGGAGCAGCGAGACCCGCAGCAGCAGCAGCAGCAGCAGCAGGGCTTGCCATCACCAAGTGAAGGTTTGCTGCACCAGATGCGTAGAACAAAACGCTTGCTTGCGATGCAGCCTATTGCTGCTAATCTTGCTGAGGTAGTGAGCACAGATGTTGCTTTCTCTTCTTTTTTTAATTACAGAACAGCTCTAGGAGAAGCAGAACAAGTTGCTTTGCGGCTGTCTCCTTGCCCTTCAGGGCCTTCATGTGAAGTTTCAGCATTAAAGGAGGCTGTTGATAGAGGGATTGCTTCTTTATCTCAATTGTACGAAGCAGCAAGAGGTTGTGGGGTGTCTTTATCGCAGCAGGTGCAGCAGCAGCTACAGCAGCTGCTGCCTGCTGCCTTCACCAGTAAGGAAATGAACGCCATAGAACAGGGGCTGGGGTCTCCTGCTGCAGAATTGCTTCAATTTTATATTGAGAGTCTCGTTGTTTCTTCAGAAGCAATAGCAGCGTTTACAGAGGAGGCAGCAGCACAACTAAAGCATATGCCTGAGCTGGCAGATGCACAGGCAGACAAGCAGCTAGCTGCTGCTGCTGCTAATGTTGAGTTTGTTGCAGCAGCAACAGCAGCAACCAGCCGTCTAAGAAGGGTTATCAGTAGCTTGAAGACTGCAGCTGCTGCAGCACTGCAGCAGCAAGCAGTCAGCTTTCATCAGGGTTTGTCTACGAACTGTAGCGACGTCCTGGAGCAGCAGCAGGCGATGTGCACGCTAGAGAAGCATCGGCAACAGCAGCAGCAGCAGCAGCAGCAGAAGCAAATGCTATACGAGGGCAACACAAGTGTAGGTACACTTGAACAAACAGAAGAAGTTTTAAAGAAAGGGGAAGAGCTGCTGCTGAAGCACCGTGAGGCAGTTGAGAGCATACAGCAGCAAAACTCAATCCTCTCTGTGCATGAGGCTGACGAGAAGGCAAGAGCTATTGGCGAGGATCTGAAATCTTTGCTGATGGCGACGGCCTTGCGTTTGAAGCCGATCGCCGGAGGCAGCGCAGCAGCAGCAGCAGCTGCTGCTGCTGCTGCTGCTACTGCAGATAGAGAGAAGGGGCAGCAGCGGGCAGCCAGGGCGCATCAGGAAACAGCAGCAGCACAAGGTGGCAGAGGACCCGTTTTCACGGAGGTTGCTGTCCGCAGCGTTGCAGGAGGTGGATCAGGTCAGAGCAGCTTTGCGTCAGCTGGTAAGCGATGCAGCACAGGCTGCTGCTGCTGCTGCTGCAGACATCAGCAGCAGCAGCAGCACGGAAAGCATGGCAGAAGAAGTTGCTGCTGAAGCAAGAAGTGCATGCATGGCTGCTGAAGCCCTAAAAGGAGAAGCAGAGAGACTTTATTTGCGCAGGCGTATCCTTTGGGCGGTGGAGTACGATATGGAGCTCAGTATAAGCCTAGCAGAGAGAGCAGCAGCAGCAGCTGCAGCAGCAGCAGCAGCAGCAGCAGCAGGGGGAGAGGGAGAGCGTGTGGCAGGAGCAGCAGCACTGCAGCTGCAGCAGCAGACGCTACTGCGACAGCAGCTGCAGCTGCAGAAGCCGCCACAGCAGCAGCAGCAGGAGCAGCAGGACTGGGGTGCGTCTCTGCCTCCGCAGCAAGCTGCTGAGTTTAAAATGCTGCTGGAGAAGGTAAACCGCTGCAAAGAAGAAGCTCAAACAAAGAAGAGCTTGAGAGAGTTAGGTGTTGTTGCAGCAACAATGAAGGAAGCTGCATTCGGTCTGACTTCTATTATTCAGCAGCAGGAGATCAGAGGAATGAAGCATTGAAGTTGTTTGTTTTTGTTTTTGTTTTTGTGTTCGTTTTTGTATTTGTTTATTTTCTTCTTGCTTGGATAATTACAAGTTAATCATATGCTGCTCGCTGCAGTAAGGAGACTCTCTTCTTGTTTTCATCTGTCTCTCTTTTAACAGTGCAGCACCGCCGAAAGAAGAGCAGACAGAGACAGAAGAAGAGAAGTACGAAGTAAATATTTTGAAGTTTTGTTTGGGGTATTCATACAAAAAGCAGCAATGAGAAGATAGCAGACAGAGAAGAAGGAGACATATTATTGTTTAGTTTTTATTAATAACTGTCTCCTTTCCTCTCTTTTCTTTTCTCTGCTTCGTCTCTTGCTGTCTCCTTCCAGAGTGCTGTCTCTTGAAGGGCTTTCTTTTCTGTTTTGCTTTTAATGGTATATGTTTTCTAAGCAAAACGAAAGAACTTCAGTGTAAACCCAAACAGGGGAATACATTTTCATTTAATTATATGATATGTACACTTAAATTGAAACAGATATATATATATATATATATAATGCTTCTTACGTATAGTAGTAGTTCGTAGTGTAGACAG